TAACATCATTACCAAATGAGCATACATAATTTACTAAATGACAATGGTATAAAAATCATAAGCTTTGTTAGTTGAACATCAAACATTCTATATTGATTATCATAAGCATTCAATTGAGTATATAATATAACTCTTATGTGAATCTATATGATAGTTTTGAAATATGCATTAAAATGACATTTCAAAATGAGCATAACTCAGTACTAGTTGAACATAAGTAACTTACAAAATGAGTATCGAAAAATTTGAAGGATCGTTTGAATTCCTTAACATGTAGATCTATTAGATTCATTACTAACAATTTAATAAACAATCATTATAAAAAAAACTATCATTATAAAAATGAGATATAAAAAAATGTTTAAACAAATTAATTTATAGTCTTTTTTTCTTGACTTACAAATATAATTATTTACACATGCACATTTATTTTATACTATACTCATTTTAGTATAACACAAATCTCATATTAGCAATAACACAAAATATTTAATAAACTTAAAATATTCATCTTAAAATTAAAAATATAATAACAAAACATTAATACCTAAAATAATTTATAATGCACAAATTCAAAAAAAAAAACTTAAGTTAGAAAAGTGATTGGAAAATGAATAGAAAAAACTCAAACATTAAATAATATTTTATTCAATACAATTTAGTGATAATTGAATGAAAATAAAATTACAATTAAAGATTGTTAAAGAAAAACCAAAAGAAAATAGAAGGAAAAAGACAAAAGAAAGAAACATGAAACAAAGAAGCGGGCACGAAAAACAACAAAAGAAATAAAAGAAAGAAAGATAGAAGAAAGAAGTAAAATCAACGAGCAGGAAAGCCGTAAGCATGCCGACGGAAAAGAAAAACGAGTTTGTTTCCCAAATAATGCTAATTAAAAAACTAATTACGAAAATATGGTTGAATGAAAAGTTTTTACCAAATTGATGCTGCCCAAACCATGATTAAAAGAACCGCCAATCCAATTGGCGACTTATGCGTATGGGCGGAGGAAGCAATGCAAACTAACGACATGCATCTCCAATGGGGTAGTGGATTGGAGTAAAGTCTATCCTACGTGGCATAGGAGAGAGATAGAGATAGAATGATTATTTTAATTTAATATGGAGAAAGTGGTGTGTATGAAAAATGAAAAGGAAGAGAGAGATAGGAGTAAATTGTAGACAATGTGTATGACAATGTCCACAAATAGACTTTACACGGGAATCGATGAGTAAAAGTGGATGAAAAGTGGGTTAAAAGTGATATAGAAAAATGAAAAACAAAATAAATGTGGAGATATGTAGGTCCTACACATAAAATTTGTGAGATAAAAAATGGGACCCGTGTGTAAGAATGTGGAAGAGAGTAGACATCCCCATTGGAGATGCTCTAAATGGAGGAAAGAGGTAGAGGTGGGGTCCAAGGTATAAAAAATCCCATTTTTGTTTAAAGTGTTATAACTTTTTTATTTTTGCTCCAATTTTTACAAAAAATATATCAAAACTCATAATTTTTTATGATCTTTCATATGACATCAATATCACATATGTAAAATAAAAAAAAATAACGTTTTTACTTTTTAATTTTACATATGTAATATTAGTGATATTAATTGTTTAATTTTAGATATGTGATATTGATGATAATAATTTTTTAGGAACTTTCATATGACACCAATAAAAAAAATCATAATGTTACTAGGTATTAAACAACATTTCCATTTTCTAAATACGATATTTTGAACTAAATAAACAAATAATTTCTAATATATGATCAAAATCATGATAGTGAGTAAACATGTCACTTATTTACTCTTAGTGACCATAACTATGTTTAAATTTTATATGAAAATGACTATGAAAGTATATTATTAAAGTGTCGAGTTTTTATGAAAGAAGTGACCAAGAGTTAATAAGTGGCAAGTTTTAATGTCGGCCCACATAGCCTAATTACTTCCAAAACTAGAATAGATCATCCCAAACTGAGCGAGACTATTCGTTGAACATACGAGAGATTTGAAACTAATGTTAGCCCACATAGCCTGATTACTGTTAAGACTGGCCGCCAAACCCTAGGCGTACTTCCGCTGTGAAGTTTTTCAATGCTCTTATAAATATATTATGTGGTATATATGGAATATAATATGGAGCGTAGATGGAAACAATATAACCCAATATCGAGTAGTAGAAAGAAACAATCTAATATCGCGGTAGAAAATGGAAAGATTGTTTAATAAACCTTAATGATTTATAGTTGTTGAAGTTTATTCCTTCAACCCTCGGGTCCAACACGTAAGCCCAAGAGTTTCGAGTGGAGTGTGTATGAATAAACTAGCCCAACTAACAAGTGAGATGGAGTAAGAAACAGTAAGTAGCCAGTAAAAGATTAGGTATTATTAATTAGTTAATAACTCCCCTAAGAAACAGTTCGTCGTTATCATAATGGCTCGTGGGCCTGACTCAGTCATATGTGTGGATGTTTGTCGGAATGGGCTGGTAAGCCAAGGTCTTGGATCCGACATTCGTCTTCACCAATTCTCCCGTTAGCTTAGCCCACCCAAAGTCCTGTCTAGACGTTCGTCCGAATAAGGGGTAGATGCTCCCGCCCCTGCTTGGACCATTAACCCAACAATAGTCACTTTTATAGTATATTTTTATAGTCACTTTTATATAAAATTTAAACATATTTACAGTCGCTAAAAGTAAATAAAGGACATTTTTACGCCCCATCCTTTTTTAATTAAAAAAATTTGATCATTTATGATGTTATAAATTTAGTATTTTTAAAATTTGATGATTAAATTGTTTTTAAGAGTGTTACTACCTCCATCCCATTTTATGTGTCTTAGATTGATTTGGCACGATTATTAATGAAGTGGTTGAAAAAGTAAAAGTTGCGATTGAGGTTTGAGTATAATAAAGTAAACAAGCCACATATTTCTTTCCAAAAAGGAAAAGAGACACTTATTTTGGGACAACTCAAAAAGGAAAGTAAGACAAGTAAAGTGGGACGGAAGGAGTATTATTTTCCGAAATGAGCACCTTTACATGAGATGATGACATGTTCAAAAAGGAAAGTATGAACATTCATGTGAGACGAAAGGGGTAGTAAACATTAATAATTTTTTTAAAATTTTTACATATGTGATATTCATGTCATATGAAAGATCATAAAAAATTATGAATTTTAGTATACTTTTCATAAAAATTAGAGCAAAATTTAAAAAGTTAAAGCACTTTAAACAAAAAAGGGATTTTTTTGTATCTTGGACCCCACGATTACCTATCTGCTCCATTTGGTACGTTGCATTGCTTTCCTCGCGCAACGGTCTAGGTAAGTCGCCAACTGGATTGGCGGTTCTTATTAACCATGGTTTATTTAACATTATTTTGGTAAATACATTTAACTCAACACTATTTTCGTAAATACTTTTTTATTTAACTTTATTTTAGAAAAAAACTCAAGAAAAACAACGGGCAGCACAGCAGGGACTAACTTAACTATTGCCATTTGAATTAAAACTATTTACAAAAATGACGACTGTACCATGGGCATGGTACCATATAATTTGTCCGCAAAATGTGTACACTTTTTTGTACACTTCTTTATTTAAGTGTAAACTATTTAAGTGTCATTATACTTCTCTCTGGTTCGTTCGTCAACTAACGTCTCGCTACCACCTCCAATTATTTTTAAATCGAATGGAGGTTACAGCGTCTCTCTTGATCTTCATGTTCCCGAGCATTTCCATTGCATAGGTTAGCCGCTCAAATTATTTTGGGTCTTTCTCCACAACTATTTCTCCTCTTCCTCGGAATTCTACATTAATGCACACTGTTCAACGTATTCTACCATTGTCTTGATTGTCAATATTCTGAATGTGGTCTTTCTCCACAACTATTTCTCCTCTTCCTCGGAATTCTACATTAATGTATTCTGTTCAACGTATTCTACCATTGTCTTGATTGTCAATATTCTGAATGTGTAAGACTTGGGATCCACCACTTTCCTTTTCATTCAGAAAAAAACATCTTCTCATTTCCATTAATGGCATATTTGATTTGTTCACATTTCTTCCCCTTTCCAAATAAATCTTGAGAAAACAATTTCATTTTCTTAATAGTGTAACAAATGCTAAGGGGAGTGCTATTTACTATTTAGGGACAAAGGGAGTATAAAATAAGTCCCTGCATCCCAAACTCTACAAATTATGAATGCATTTAAAAAAATAATAATCTCCCATTGTGCATATCTAATAAAAAAAATTCATTGTGCATATCTAAATTTCATACCATTTACCCTAGCAATCTCTAGGGTACAAAAGTTGATAACATTTACCCTAGAGATGGCTAAGTATAAACTTTTGTACTCCGGCTTTTATAATTAATCGTTGCATAGCTAACCTTGAAGGTTGTCTATTAAAGTATGAATATGAGTATGATCTTGTGTCAACTAAGTAAGAACATAAGTATTTTTTGTTTTCATTGTTATTTTAACCAAATAAATTTTTTTGATTGTATTTTAACTAAATATATTGTTAAGCAAATTTATGCCTAACTATTTTTTATAATATTCTAAAACACAATATTCGTGTGTGCGTGTCTATAACACACACAATTCTCTCGCATATATTGTGGGAATGTTTTCGCATTAACATGGGAAATCTCCATTTTTTGTTCTCAATTTTTATTTTGGCTAAATGCTTTTCTCACTGGCTAAACATTGCGTTTTTATATATATTTTGGCATAATACGTTTCAATAATTATTTAATTAACTTTTCAATTGAATTTTAAGTTGAAATTTGGTGGACGTAATTTACATTTCATGAAAAACGTGCTCACAAAAAATTTATCAAAAATTTGAAACGTTCTAACAGGAATGCTACCCTTGTAGAGATACCTGAAATTGTACTGGAGCAAGTTTTTAAGATATGTACGGTATTAGTGTATTACGAGTATATACATGCATTACAAAATGATCTTGTTAATTGTAACGGAAATACCATAAACTACTTTCTACAGTATTAATTCTACTTAAATATTTTCATGTAACTACCTCTCTTCTTCGCAATTTGAGGCAAAGAACAAATAGAAACAAAGTCAGAGCATGCTTTCTGCCTTTCAGTAGCTGACACAAAGAAAGTATGATGAACGAAGATATCGGCGTCCAGGCCCGAGTTGTGGCGATCCGTGAGGTGGCCAAGCTCCTGCCGCTGCCGGAGTTCTTGCCGTTGATAGCTTCGACCAAAGCTGATTACGTTTCTCGCCAGCAGGTTCTTGAATTGAATTTCAATTCTATAGTCCAAAGTCTTATACAGTGTTTTATTGTTTTATAGGTTTCCGATGTAGAGCAAATACTTTAACATCGACTCTAGCAGGAAAGCCATAAATTTACTCTAATGTGTAAAAGAAATTAGCTATAATGCATATACACAATATTTATTGTAATTTTGTGAGACAAGATTTGATTTTGGTCATTTAAGCCGACTAAAAATGATTGAAGCTATACTAAAAGAGTTTATTAGTTATGTGTGCGCGCGAAGTATAATGCTCAAAGAAGATAGCAGGTGAATAAGATATTAATCATATAGTTAAGGAAATGAAACTTGTATGTATAATTTTCTATCATATGAATAATGGGTACTATATTTAAAGCCTCTACCGTGTGTAATTGTGTATGGTTGAGTGCAAATAAAATTCTGAATTGAACTTGAAATGCTTAGATTTGTATAGACTCTCGTTTGAGTGTGTGCATTGTTCTTGAAGATTGGGAACACAATCTCAAATGTTATAAACTTTAAAATCTTAGATAGTATTCATTTTACGTAGGTCATAACTTTGACACGAAACGAGTTACAGAGCCCATAATACTTCAAGTTGAAAGTATTTCAACGTTCTACATACTCAAAAGAATTTGAGGGGACAGCTGCCCACCCTGACCCGGGCTCTGCCCTCGCACGCATCCAAAGATTCATATTTCAATATTTTTTGATAGTTTATAAATGAAGGCTTTTTGGGGATCCTGGCCACTTCCTGCCTTTTCCATTTGTTACGGGAAAATGAAAAACAACAACTTATAAAAGGGAAGAAATTTAAGGTCCCTTAGGAAAGTAGAAAATGTGTGGAAAGAAACTATGGAGAAAAATATAGGAGAAATTTGGGATGAAGGAAAGAAAATAACTAGAAAAATAAAAAGTTGTTGTAACATCAATAAATCAAGGAATTCATTTCAAATATTTGTTCCAATTCTCTTTATTTATTTACTTATGCCATAAGTATTTATAGCATTCTAAACATATACTACTTACGTAGTACTCCATATATAATTTTCATTCACATTTCTTTCTTTTTTCTTAGTATTTTATGGGATCAAAACATAGCCTTTTTGTTGGCCACCAATTACTTAATTGCATTAATTTATGTACTAACTATATCAGTTTTACAATTACAAGTAGTTGCAAGAAAAGGAAACATGTATCAGTTAATTAGTACAAATATGTCATTTATCTGCTTTACTTGTTTGACTTTTTTGAGTATCTCATGCTTTCAACACACATTAGCAGTCCAATATGCCGAGTTTCCTTGACATTTTCATTAAAACATTTAAATAAAAATGATGTTTTCACATTAGCTTAAGGCTTTAGTTGTAATTTCGTTCGATTTTTAGCATTTCTACTTGCATAATCAATTTCTTAAACAGCCAGTCAATTTTTAACTGAGAAGAATAAATAACAAAAAAATGGAGTAAATGAATTTGTGTGCCACATACCGCATCGGCCAGTGATGAAGATTAACTATAAATGGCACTCATGATGTGACTAATAACATGCTATCACATAACTAAATTCTTTTCTCTGGTTTTTTACTTCCATACTACTCCCTCCAGCCATTAAGTCATTTTCTTGAACCACATGTTGACATATACTGTATTTAATCAGGTGAATGATGCACATCTCAGTACAATGGTAGCTAAACAGGTATAAGTGCATCAGCTCATTTCTTTGAATGAAGATGCTTAGGTTTTTTGTTCATCCTCTGCAAACTATTTGGTTTGTTTAATATCCTTCAAGAGAAATAACTACTAATTAGGTCATGCACATATTTTTAATGCTTGCACAACTTCTTCTTTGCAGATTGAACAAGCACAGGCTGGTCTTGAATCACTTTCCTTATCCCAGAAGATCATTGGCCAATTAAGAGAGAACTATGTTTCTGTTGAAAAGTAGAAATTCACATTTGTGTATCCTGTTTTAATAGAAGAAGCAGTATTTCTATTTGCCTGTTTGGAAGAGTCATTGCAGGTTTTTAGATAATGTATCTCACTCATTGCATGTCAGCTCTGATTTCAAATTGCAGATTATGCCAAGAATGCCAAACGTTAATCGAAAATCATTATCAAATTAGGCTTCTCAGTAACACAAGGAATAACCTGAAAGCCACCTTGAAGGCGAGTCTTTGTTTTCACTTTGTGATTCATAAGCTTAAGTTTTTTTTTGTTTTGTTTTGTTATTCATATGCTATGCAGTTTTCAATAACGTAAGTTCATAAACATGCTATTGAAAATTGAAGGGATTTATACTCAACTTCACCATAAAATAGACTTACCATCAATCTAAGTATACATAGACACCTTGACCTGACCTTTTCATTAGTAAAGACTGACCAAATCCCCAAAGTGGTTGTGACTTGTGAAACGTCTATATAGAATATGACAGCTTTCCTTTAGCAACCATAGTTACTCTACAATATACATTGGGTAGATATACTTCAACACGCACTGATGCTCCTTCAAGTTGGAATACAATAGGGTCCAAGTTTGCTACAAACGTTTTCAACTTAGATCTCCGTAGTTAATAAAAAAAATGGTCTTGACTTTTTAGTCTTTACATCGTCTTTAAGTTACTTTTTAATGTGAAACTTCAAATTTGGAAAATTACATGAATACGTCATTATAAACTTGAAACTTGGACATAGTCTTGAATAGTTTATTTAATTGAACTTTAAATCTGAAATAATTAGAAGTTGAAATTATGAACTAGACATGACCGGGGGACTGAACTTTAAGTTGACACTTCTTGTATTCAGGTAAAATGCCAATTCATGAAGTTTTCTATGCATTTGCCCCTTGATTGACATTCTTCGAACAATGTGTTGTGTAGGATGCGGAGGGAATGATGTCGATTTCTGTTGATGCTGCTGTAGCACGAGAATCTCTAAATGATCACAAAGAACTCATCAACACCTATGAGGTAAATATTTGTCTCTAAATTATCATTCTCATTGGCATTTATACAAATTTACCCCATTTTTATGGTGAACATATGTCCAATTGTCTTACTTTTATGATGTCAAAATTCTGCTAGAGGTTAATAGCTCTTGATGCAAAGCGGAGGTTTGCTTTAGCTGCTGCTGTGTCTCATAAGGAAGAGGTTTGCAGACTAAGGTTAGATTGTTTGCCTTGGTGTTGGGTAATTTACTGAATCTATAATAGAAACGATTCCTCTTTTAACATCCTAACTTTGAAAACAAAAGTTGTGGAGTTGTAGGAACATGTACTGTTCAATAGTAAAGCCTTTTGATTCAATTTAAGAGAAAAGCATAATCATGAATGATCATAATTTGTTTTCCTTGCATAGTTGTGACCTGGAAGTGGGTCAAGCCAAATTTTCATTTTTTGGGTTGTTATAAACATCATTTGTATTTGGTTGATGACTATGAAACATGGGAACTCTCATGAAATAGTACATTCCCTTTTCGGGAACTCTAGGAAACTCTATAGAAACTCTTCAAATACTTGTTTTTCTATTAAAAGATGACGTTTCTCGTTTTACGTTACTCCATTTATTCCCACCTTTCCGTGCAGCATGGGTTGATAATGAACTAAGATTGATATGAACATTTGGTTAAGTGTCCATGAGTTCCAAACCAATCATCAACCATGGTATAGTTTAATTAAGAAGTCACACACTTTTCAAGATGAAGGGCATATAAGCTGTGTTGGCTTGGGTACGAATACGGTTACAAGCTAGGAAATAATTGTAACTATTTTAGATTTTCTCATTACCATGGAGAGACTTAAGCTCTGAAAGTGTCTGCATCATTCTCAGAACGTATTTTGAAGATGTAGATCGCACATGGAAATGTTTTGAAAAAACACTATGGGGCCATATTTCCAACTTCTTCAAACTTGCTAAAGAGAGGTATACCTGAGCATGTTATTTGCATTTAGCTAGTCCATATTCCAAACAAATAAGTGTTATTTTCGATTTTTCGTTCAAGCATCCTCTCCAACTCTTGGATAAAGAAACCGATTGTGTGGCTGCTGGTCAGTTTTTCATGATATTGCACATATAATGTAGTTTTCAACAGTCAACTTTTTAATTTTTTTTGATGTAGTAAGCAAGCTTCTTTACTGTTCATATTACTATCCCTCGTGATGCTTTTAGCATTTTTTTTCTTCTGCAGCCCACAAACTTTGGTCCGTGCTATAAGGTATGTTCAACTTTATGTGTATTCTTACCAGTTACCACCTATCAAAGTGGTTGTGGCATATCCAAGCGGTAGTTATTATTGTTGAAGTATATCTATGTAGTATATATCGTAGACTCGTAGAGTAGCTATGCTTGTTGCAAGGTTTGGTTGGTTCTTTTCCTCTTAATAAGTAAAATTGAGTGTCTGAGCGCCGTGAAAAAAAGTAAAATTGAGTACTATCTCCTTCAATTCTCAATAATTTGTAACGCCGCACACACTGAAATGAAAAACCTGCATATTAGTCCGCATTATATTGCAGGGTTGTTGAGATGCAAGAATATCTAGAACAGCAACTTGCAAAAGAAGCATCAGAGGCTGAGGAGGGTGGAACCCTTGCATCAATAACAAAACCTCAAAAAAATATTAAGTGCGTGAAGTTTGATTTATTTTTATATTGGCTCTTGATGCATTCATTCTTGGTCACTTACCTCGTTAACCACATTTTTAGTTATGTTTGAAGTTTAAACAAATTGCTTTCTCCATGTCAGTTGCGTGCCTTGCACTTTAAAATTGTTTTACATGGATCAATGTATGAATGATCATCATTATAAATCCTAATTAACTATTCTGGCCTGCAGGAAATGTGTAAACGCACCAACTTCTCTGAAAAACAATATGCAGCAAAACGGGAGGGTCCACGAGAAAGGTTACAAGGATAAATGCTATGAACATATAAGAAAGGCTGTTGAGGCACATTTTGATCAGCTACTTTGTGAGGAAGACCTTAAAGCTGCCATAGATGAGGCAAAAGCGGTAATTGTCTTTTCAATATCCAATTTGTATTTAGTTTTGATAAACTTAGTCATACATATTATAATATCTCGATTTTTAAGTTCAGGTGGGGGAAGAGCTTGGAGATGTGTATGATTATGTGGCTCCCTGCTTTCCTCCTAGGTTTCTCATCTACACTTTTATTCTGCTTTCCCTTTTTGATAAGAGCTTTTGCATACCTTATATGCTTTAAGCTGTCCTGTTAGTGCCATCTAAACTAACACTTTAAGACTGAGCATCATCAAAGCAATTCGATAACTCGATAGGTAGAGAAGTTAGTTAATATTTTTGGCCTTTTGGGAAAGAGGAAGTAGTATTCTTTGTGTATTAAGCAAATGAGTAATACAAGATACTCCCTCTTTGGGAAAGAGGGACCCCAAAGAGGGAGTAATTTTTTTTCAAAAAAAAAAACAAGATATAAAAATAATCTCTGGTTTAGGTGCTCCTTGATATGATTTCAGCAATGAAACAAAGGATAAGAGGCAAATTAGGCTCTACTTAGGATTGAGCAATGCACCAAATGTACTCCACATAGCAACCCTAGCAGCCCCTAAAATCCACCCCTTTTATGTTATCTGTTTAACCAAGATCATCAAAGTTAACAAAACTCCAATCCCTAAATTATTTGCTAAGCATATTTCAAGATACATACAAGATATTCAGAACAATAACATACAACTAATCGTCCTAAAATTTGAAAAATCACAAACAAATCCTATAATATTATACAAGTTGGGATTATTTATATATTATCAGTGGCTACGTTTACATCACTGTTTCATGAAATTTTAAGTGCTTACAAGATTCTAGAATGGTTAGATTCATTTCTTTTTGCGAAGTAAAAACCATAATGTTTTTTTATAATTTCAGGTTTAATGCCTTTTTTCATCTTTTTTCTTCCATGTATCAGATATGAAATTTTCCAGTTCATGGTAAATCTTTATTCTGAGAGGTTTATTCAGTGGCTGAGAAAGCTAAGTGACCAAACCAATAATCTGACAAACATAGAGATTTTAAAGGTATGAAATATTTGGTTATGAACTACAGAGCATTTAGGGAAAAAGTGATTTTGTTTGAAAATAGACACTAGGAGTGTGTTTGATGATGCTGAAAAAGTAGGTTATCTCAATAGTCGGCTGTATGATAATGTGAGTCGGTTTTTGTTTGGATAAATTTTGCTTAGAAGTGGTTTTGAAATAATTAATTCATTTGGATGGCAATAAAAGTTACCATAGCTTTTTTAGCCCAGAAAAAAACATCAAAATCACTGGGGTAAGAGCTAGGTTTTTTTACTAAGTAATATTAAAAACAAACAATTACAAAAGAGGGGACATCATCAACCTTACCTCATTAAAATTAGAGAAAAGAACATCAAAGCTAAATGGAAAAGCCAGAAAGACAACTTAAGCTCTAAATAGTTATGTAAATAGCTGAAAGAGTAAACAATCTGTTGCAACATAATATAAGCTACGAATTTCGGAATCAGAAAAAAACATTATTTCAAAAAGGTAACCTTATTATATATTTCAGCGAATGATCCGAAGCACATGAATTTTTTAGAAACAATGTACGATCTAAAAGACAGGTTAAATAGCTTGTGTTCGATTACAAGATGTCCCTAACATGTTCTAGTCTCTAGCAAACCTGATTTCTAAGAAAGGGGGAGCACTTCAATACTCGAGTGATATTTTAGTAAATATTGCCTAGTTTATTATATTATTAATGTAATTACTGATTAGGTAACTGCATGGGCGATGGAGTACCAAGATAGTTTAATTGCACTTGGAGTTGAAGAGTCTTTGGCTCAAGTTTGTTCTGAAAGTGGTTCAATGGATCCCCTCATGAATGCTTATGTTGACAGAATGCTGGTAACAACTAAGGTGAAAACATTTTGTGTGATCTGCTACAAATATCTTTGTGTAACTACTATATTGTGTTTTAAAGTGTACTTCTATTGAGTATTGAATTATTAGTTATTTATATTATTCCAATGTACAGAAGTGGTGCCTGAACATTCTTGAAGCAGATAAACTGCGACCACCAAAAATGACCACCAAGGGAAAACTATATACGCCTGCTGCTGTTGACTTGTTTAGGATCCTTGGAGAACAAGTCCAAGTAGTGAGAGACAATAGAACGGATGTCATGCTATACAGAATTGCTTTGGCAATAATTCAGGCAAGTTAACCCCAGTGAACTTATTTGCAGGAGATATGTAGTCATATCTCCACAAACCTTTGTTTTGGCTGTATGCTTGTATCCTTCTTTAAATAGGCTGGATTGCCTGATTTAAATATCTTTCCCTTTGTACTTGAACTTCTGATCATGTATCCATAAAGTGGTTCAGGCTCTACTTTTTTTGGGGTTGTTTCCAAAAGTGCATCGAATAATTATGTTTTTATGTTGATCATGCTAAGAGAATTGAGACTTTACTGATACTATCTGTTATTAACTGCAAAAAAAACTGAGGTGTATGTATGCATATATATGACCCTCTTGGCAGCTGAGACAAGTACAACCGACCCTTAAGGCACTATTTGTTATGGCATTATTTATTGACAACAAATCATCAATATGATTCTATTTTGAGTAAATTGAAACACTAAGTAAGGATCCTATTTATTCACTTTTTACATGTATTTTCCCAATTAGTTTTTTGGAACAAACTTGTTTTAATTTACATGAATTACTAAACTTGTTTCCAGATTATGATTTACTTTCAAGGTGCTGAGAGAAAGAGATTAGCAGAATCTGTGCCTGAATTTGATCTGGAAGCTTTATGTGCAATGGTTTGTAAAGCTTTACATACATTCTAAATTATTAGATTTACAGATAAAACATGTTGCTATGCCTATTTTTCTAACAGGTGTAGCAGAAAATAATAACCTTTGCTGTTATGATCTCAGTACAGATTTATTTTCACCTATGCATATTTTGCTTACTTTTTCCATCATTTGCAATGGAGCCAAAAACTCACTATTTTATCTTGGAAATATGATGGAATAAAGCAAAATGGCCCACTAAACTGTCTGCGCTTCTTTGTTATGAAGCAACATTCAGTCCATGCAATTTTCGACGTGATTTTCAGTATGGGTAATCTGGAAACCGCCTCTGTGCTTTAGTACAGGGGCAAGGCTGCGTACATCCGACCCCCCATGCCCCACCGTAGGTGGGAGCCTTTGCGGCACTGGGGTGATGATGATGATGATATTTTCTTACACCTTGCTGTAACAGATAAACAATAATCTTCGCTGCTATGATCTCAGCATTGAGCTATGTTGTAGTATCACTGAAGCACTCCCAGATAAATATGCTCAGCAGGTAGTAATAGTTTTCTGACTTTTCTCCCTCTCACAATTGGTGCAAAGTGAAACACCATCAATCTTCATGACCTTCCATTTGAATTTATTCTCTACGTAGTTCTCTAAACTTGATCACATGTACTTAGCTTCTTGTATAAATTGCATTTCATATGGGTGGTTTACAATGGAACTAAACAGAGGGAGTGAGGGAGTCTGACGGTCTGTGATACTTTTGACCTCCCAACTCTTATGTCAAAGAGTGTGATATCTCGACTTTTAGTCCTTCTGTATTACTTGTCACATTTAGTCACTTTTTCCATGCAAATGCACCAGAAGAATTAATATCTCGGATCCATTGTGAACGTGAATATTTTCATTGTTGTGTTATTCGAAGTAAAACCTTAGAACTGTTAGACCAGATGTTAGACAAAAAAAACTATTTTTGTTGTTGAAGAAGATAGCATTAGTTTTACCACATTCAGCCCCTTCGTTCACTTTTCTGTTTCACTGGAGATTAAATGTGCCCCTAGCTTTGGTATGTTTTATTAGGGAATTTTCTGCGTTGTCGTCTCAATTCCTAACTTACATGGGCACTGATAGGAATCTGGGGCCTATTCTGGCCAGATCTGTGTGATGGTTTACTGCTTTTGTTTGGATTATTGCCAGTGTTCTATCAGGCACATACAACTCATGCATACAGAACCTTTCGGGTTTGTTCAATTGGTTTGAACCTAGGAACAAAAAGTTCTCACTTATGTGATTATGTCAATAGTTCGAATCCCCCGGGGGGCACTAGAGATTTAGCTGGTCATTAACTTCAAGGTCTGCGGGATTATCCACTCCAAAGGGTGGGCACCCATGTTACAAAAAAACATACATTTAATATGTTTGTATGTTACTAATATTTTTTAGCAGGTTCATTTTGAGCACTCGTGCAAAGGTTTTCTGGAAGTTTCAAAGGTATGTGGAGCTCCCTCTTTGTTTTTTTATTAAGAAATACTTACCTCCATTCTTAAATAGTTGTAACATTAGAAATTTTACACTATTCACGTGCTCTACTCACGCCTACATTTGACTATTTTATTCACGAATACATTATAAATTTATTTATTTTTAAACATAATTAAATTCTTCTCACTGTATTGGTCAAAGTTGTGCGTTAGCAAACGTGAAAATGGAAGTGTTGCAACTAAAAACGAACAGAGGGAGTACTAGTTTTCTCCCAAAATGTGAAAAAGAAAAATGATTAAACTCATTTTGAGTTAATTGCAAGTCGGGATCCTGTTAATTTTATGATGTTTTTCTTTGAAAAAGAGTGGGATGGGCTATCTTTTGGCAGAACAAGCAAGTCTAACTTGGTTTTCTAGATGACCTAGTGTCAAATTTCTAGCCCTGTTGTTATCTTGCATTGCAGATGTTTTTCTAGATGTTTTTCTATGCATGATTATCATCAATATGATATTTGAACTTATTCTTTCAGCAAAGAAATTAAATGTGTGGTTTATTGGTGTATGGAGTATGGTGTGCCATTGGATGTAAAAATGTTCCAGTGTCATCAGCAGCTTATTTTTTTACGGTTTTATTCATGTGTTTTCAAGAAAAATTTCTAAACTTGCTTTCTTTGATTCCAGAAAGCCATCCATGAAACTACCAAGCTCATTTTTGAAGAACCAACGGTGCAGGAAGTATTAGGAAAACTGTATCAGAGGGGTAAATCATTTTTATTCAAACAGATTATCTTTGATACCATAAAATTCATACAAAAAAAGTTTCAGCAGTTAGCCTTTAGATTCAGCACCCTGCTGAATCTTGATTAGGGATGTCAACGGGGCAGCCTGCAGGGGTTAGATCATATCTCTGTCATGTTCCGCGTTCCTCAATCTGTCTTCACTGGGATTCCCTATCCCTAATTTAATACTCCCTCCGTCCCCTTAAGTTTGTCCCGTTTTACCTTTTTCGTCCGTCCCACTAAGTTTGTCCCATACCATATTTGGTAACATTTGAGTGGTTAGAATTCATTCTTACTTTATTTACACTTTATCAATTCAATATCAACCACACAATTCCACTTTTTCTTAAAAACCACACCACACCCCTCCGTCCCAAACTTAGGGGGACGGAGGGAGTAGAACGGAATTATATTTTAAACAAAAGATATACATAAACTTCCATAATGTTTGGCTCAAATAGTTGCAGAGGCCGAATGAGGGAAAGTCTACATGTAGAGGATTGATCTTATATTGCTTGTCTCCCTCTTTCTCTATATATTGTCTTTGACTCCGATATCATATGCCGATTCATGTTAGCCGATCCTAAACTCTTAGGAATAAGGCTGGGATGCTTTTGTTGTAGTAGTTGGTCTGAGCTTCAAATGTGGATTTTAGAGATAAATATTTTGCATCATAAATTTGCTCATCGAGAACTGAAATTTGCACCACGATCTGGACATAGTCTTGTAATGAATTCATTTTGGTTTATGATTTCAGATTGGCTGGAAGGACTGGTCACAGAGAGCCTAGTTAAAACATTTGATGATTACTATGATGTTGTGAGAACGTATGTATTTCTCTTAGTTCAGTCACATTTGAAAGCCCGGCTTAATAGATTCCAGATATAAGCGCCAGAAACATTTGCATTATAGGTTCAAAAATAGTTTCTAAATACTCAGTTTATGATAAACATACTAAGGTATCTTGAGGAGACATCATTTAGTTGTCTTGTTGAGGCTTTGCTGGAGGAGACAGTGATTTTTTATGTGGAGCATCTACTTATGCAGGTTATTATTGAGAACTTCACCATTGCTTGCATTTTTCATTTACTTTTTTAAAGCACAATTGCTTCAGACTGTCTAATTATTCTGGTTATACTGTATTTATTATGTTGTAGAAAGATTACATCAAGGAAGAAACCATTGAAAGGATGAGGCTAGATGAAGAAATTCTTTTGGATTTCTTCCAAAATGATATAAGTGCTTCTGTAAGCCAGCGTCTATTACAAATTTGACGATTTTTTTGTGGTTGAGATTTTCTCCTAAAAAATCTCATGGGGTTGTTAATAGAGATGGCAATTGTGACCGATCCGATGGATACCCGCACCGAACTGCCCCAGTCAAAATGGGGAATACCCGTTTTGTTTTTACGGGTAACGGGGCGGTTACGGTTTTATGCATGCCCGCCCCATTACCCGCCCCGTACCCGCCCCGTTTATTTTTAGTTATATTTTTATTACATTCTTATCTATTATTTGTCCCACGACTAATAAAAGATGAGATTTTTAATGTTCATTGTGTATATATGGATAATAGATGTACTAACTATAGTGTAAGAATGGAAGTTATCAGTAGAACTTAATAGTTTTGTTTGATTATTATATGATTTTTCGTGATTAATTATTTTTTAGATTAAGTATTTTTAGGTTCAAATTAATTTAGGTTGTCTTCTTTCTCGTCTTATAGATATATGAAGCTGTAAAGTAGCGTATGAGTCTAGCGTCGTCTAGGTGATGTCATTTTTCGCATTTTAAAATATTATGTTTATTAAAATATCAATGACTCATTTAATAAAGTGATTACCTGCGGTTACCCGCGGTTATACCCGTTACCCGATGGGGCGGTTATGGTTTGGGTAAAAATTACCCGTTGGGTAATGGGGCGGTTATGGGGCGGGGGAATTACCAAACGGGGCGGGTACGGTTATATGTAAAACCGTCCCCGATCCGCCCCGTTGCCATCCCTAGTTGTTAATCATAAAGTGGTAATAGGAAAAGTAATATAGATGATTTTTTGGTTGAAATAACCGAAAGGAAACGGATTGAGGACACTTTTTACCTGTCTACATGTATTATTGTTAGCCCCCATGGTTTTGAACTTAAATTTGGTTATTTACTTTTTGGTTGAAATTATTTATTTACTTTATTTTACTATATTTTAAAATTTGTACTCTGTAAATAATTTGTGTAGTTTTTTCAGCCAATTCAACAATTTCAATGATTTCACATTCATGTCAACCTCAACCAAATATTTTCATTAACCAAACGAAGTCTAACTATGAATGTTTTTATAATGCTGCAGAAAGTTGAAAGCATATTAAAGATACTCGGCGATTTAAGAGAACTCGCTTCTTCAGAGAGCCCAGATTCCTTCATACTTGCATATACTAATACTCTGGAGCATCAACCAGACTGTCCTGTATGTGTTCTAAGCAACCAATCATGCATGCATAAGAGTAATTCCAACTGCATATGAATTCATCATCTTTCTTTCTTTGGGGGTTACTTTGAAATGAGCACAGACTTATATGAATTAAACTTTTGGAATTAAACCCACCCAAGTGTTAATACAATTACATGTATATGAATTTGTCATCTTTTTTTGGGTTCATCTTTCTCTCTTTCTCTCTTCATATGAAACTGTAATTATTTGAAATATGCAGCCTGAGGTTGTTGAGAAGATTGTGGGAATGAGGGAGGGTATACCACGAAAAGATGCCAAAGAGGTAATGTCCATACATACCAGTTTTATAGAACTTGAGAGAAAACGCAACTCAGAATAAATGATCTACTGGATCGTACTCTTCAACGACTTATTTGGTAATAAATAAATACTGGCTACTTCATTATTTATTAATCGCAACATTGTGACTTTTAAACTATTCACACGTCTTGTTTTTAGTTTTGACTACGTTTTTCTTCTGATACATATAAACAAATCATTTTATATAAAATATTACGGAGTATTAAACTTTTCCTCACATAAACTGTCAAAATATTATTTTTATACTTTTAATTGTACATAATTAAGTATATTAATAGTAAAAGTCGTGTGTTGGTAAACATTAGTGTGTAACTGTTACAATTAAAAAGGAATGAGTAGTATAACACTTCGAAAGATTTGTGGGACTGGTATCTATGGTAGAATCATCAAAAGGTTTGCTCCCATGTAAATATGCAATTCATTGATTGAACATGATGTGGGAAATGGGAATTGCTTGCTTTCACAAACAGGTGGTTCACAAGTGCAAAAAAGTGTACGAAAGTTATCTGGTGAATGGAAGTCCTCCTAATAGGGGCTTTGTTTTCCCCAAGGTGAAGTACTTGTCGGATGATTCTGGGGTCTCCAGCTTTTGGAAAAAGCTAGCATAAGCAGATCGAAAAAGTGGGATATTAGGACAGTATTTAAGAATACAAAGCCTGACACATGGCTGATAGTTTCAATGTAAAGCAGTAAAGTAGTAGAGCTAACCCATATTTTCATCTTTATCAGGTAATTTTGTAGTCCGTATCAAACACAATTTTTTTTTATTTTTCATGCTGAATTGATGTAATAATCAAAATAAAAAAGAGTGAAGCTACTTTTCTGACTAAATAGATGCCATGGTAGAGTATCATTTTACTTGATTTCATATAATTTTGTTTTTATTTTATTAATAACATACTCCATATGTTTTAAAAATAGATTTGCCATAATTTAGTCGCTTCGGAGTTCGGACAATTTAACTGATTCAGTCAATTTTTTTCACTTTCAATATTACCAAACGAGTATTTTATGTATCGTTGCCAATATTCTTGCACGAAATTAGTTCTATATAGTCATGGACCCGGGCCGGGGCCGGCCGGGCTTTTTTTTGGGAAGGAAGGCCCAGGACCGGCCCGGGTAGCCACCGGGTCCGGTCCGGGCCTGGCCGGGCCGGGCCTCCGGTTTCGATAACTTTTTTTTTGCTTTCCTAACCCCCCCTCACCCCCCAAAACCCCCAAACCCCTCCTAACCATCAAGCCCAACCCGGGTGGAACCCCAAAAAATGAAAAAAAAATCAATTAGGCCTGGACCCGGGCCCGACCCGGCTGGGCCGGTTCGCCAAATACAAGGCCCGAGCCCGGACCTGCCCCCCACCGGGCCTAGGCCCGACCCGGACCCGAGAACCGGGCCGGTTCTGGGCCTGCACAGTAGCGGGCTGGGCCGGTCCCGGGCCGGGCGGCCCGAACCGGGTCCATGACTAGTTCTATATAACTATTGTTTCCAGAGTTATCGTCATTAGGACTTTGGCATGTCAAAATAATGTTTTTTGAGCCTAGTATATGGATCATCTCCACGGGCCTCACAGACTTTATCAACTGTTTTACTAGAAGGGCCTCACAGACTTTACTAACTGTTTTACTAGAAGAATAACTATTTGTAAATATAAAAATAGGATAATTGCAGGAACAAATAATTAATACGATTAATGGTAGTCTAATTTCTCAATGGAGAAAAAAAAAGTGAAGCATGTAGACGGTAGACCTCATAAATTAAGCCTGTTTGCTACATTTTTTTTGTTATAAATTATAATTTTTACAACACTTTCCCTTTTATTAATTTTTTTATTTAAAAATAATCGATAGGCCTCACCTTTTTTTAGCATCTTCTCTTTCATTTCTTTTTCTTTTGACTCTGATATTTTGACTCTGATATTATGTAGCAGTTCATGTTAGCCGACTCAAAATCTTTTATGACTAAAGCATAAATGTTGTTGTATAATCTCCTCTTTCATATTTTTTATATTCTCTTACTTTTTCTAAACTATTGGCCACTGCTAGCATTTTTTTTACCCTTAAAATTTATGATAATCCTAACAAATTTAGGAATTCGGAGGAAGTATGATTTGTGCATATTTAAAAAAGACACGGCCAGCATTGATTACAGATTATTAGGTAGTTTATTTAAGCAAGTAATGCTTTTTAGAGATTCATTATATTATATATTGTATTCTTAATTAACTACTATCATTATGCACAACCAATAAGATATTTATAATCTTTGATAATGGGATGGGCAAATCGGTTTACGGTTCGTTTTTTTATTGGGTTCGGTTCGGTTTCAAGTTGTTCGGTTTGGTTTCAAGTTGTTCGGTTTGGCGAAAAATGTATTTCGGTTTGGTTTTGGTTCGGTTCGAGAAATTTTCGGTTCGGTTCGGTTTATAAAGTAAAAAAAAATGTATAATTTCATATTTTTAAGTCAAAATTTACTAATTTGAAATGGTTTATTTTAGTTTAAATCCAAACCAAATAAACTAAAACAAAGCAATAAAATCAAAATAGAGTTTTTTGGTGTTGTGTGCTAAATAACAATGGTGTACAAGCAAGAGCAACATGCCAACATAAATAAAATATAGGTAGTGATTTACACGTCTGAGCAAAACAGCAATGATTTAAATGGTCAATAGAAGTGGGTGAGGGATTAGGAGTTTGAGCAGTTATGTTTCACTCCAAATCACCAAGTCACTAAATCTACAACCTCCCTAATGTATACATATAATGGACAAACACATTGTCGTATTTCACTGGTACAACCAAACTTACAATCTCCATAATGCACACATATAAGAGGCAACATTCGGTTTGAGCAAATGTTTACCAAACAGTTTACTTAAGTAAACCCCAACCAAACCAAATTAAACCACCAATTTTAATAATATATGAAAGTTTTTTTGAGTTTCTTTAGTTCGGTTTGGTTTCTTTAGTTCGGTTCGGTTTTGAGTTTTATCGGTTTCGGTTCGGTTCGGTTCGGTTTAATACGGTTTGAAAGAAATAGTACCAAACTCAAACCAAATTGCATTCGGTTCGGTTTAGTTCGGTTTGGTACGGATCGGTTCGGTTAAACCAAACCGTTATGTCCACCCCTATTTGATATACATAAAGACAAATGATTGGAATTTAAGTAGAGCGGTTAATTCAAAATTTAGACGCTATCAATTACTTCTATCATTTATCAATGAATTTGATACTTTCTTAAATAGTGCGTGTCTATAGTTTTTTATGGATTTCTTATATACTACAACACTCAATAGTTTGGTCACTTATCCTCTAATTCTATGTAAGTATGTAGAGTTGAATAGGATCTCGAGATCAATTGGTTTCTGGAATCAGACTGTAACCTTTACTTCAAATTTCGGGTTGCAATTGGCACCAGAGTGACTGGAAATTTTCAGATCAATTGGGCTGGTCCTGCTTAGGGATGGACCGGGCCCGGTTTGGTTCCTGTTCAGGGTCGGGCCCGGGCGGGCTTGGAATTTTTTGGGCAAGGCCCAGGACTGGACCAGGAGTCTACCGGTATCGGGCTGGGCCGGTCCTTTTTTTTTTTAGCTTTTCTTATTTATTCCAACCCCCCACCCCCCAAATCCCGCCAAAACACCCAGCCCACCTACCATAGGCCCAAACCCAAAAAACCAAAAAAAATAATAAAAAGTCTGGACCAGACTGTCCGGGCCGGGCCCTATTTCCCAGTCCCGGACCCGCCCCCTTAAATCCCGCCGGGCCGGTCCTAGTCCCGGAATCGATCCTGGCCAACCGGGTCGGTCCGGTCCCGCACAGTGGCGATCCGGTCCGGTTCCCGGGCCACCCCTAGTCCTGCTATTTTTTTGTTTTTGTTTTTGTTATGTCTTTTGTGTCTAGGGGTGGACTCGGGCCGGGCGGCCCGGCCAGGGACCGGTCCGGGTAGGCCCGCCCCGAACCCCAGCCCGGCCAGGGACCGGTCCGGGTAGGCCCGACCCGCTGGGGTTCTGGGCCGGGCTCGGGCCCCTTAAAAGGTGAGCCGGCCTGGCCGGTTCGGGCCCGGTCCGGGCCAATTTCTTTTTTGTTTCTTTTTTTTTTTTGAATTTTTTTTAAGTTTTTGGGTTGGGATGGGTATTTTGGACCATTTGAGGTGGTTTGGGATGGTTTGGGGGTGAGGGGGGGGGGGTTGGGGGTTAATTAGGAAAAGCAAAAAAAAAATTAAATTGAACCGAGGCCCGGCCCGGCCCGGCCCGGCCCGGATCCGGGGGTTACCCGGGCCGGTTCCGGGCCTCCCCTTTCATGAACCAAGGCCCGGTCGGGCCCAGGCCCGAACCGTACCGAGTCCACCCCTGTTTGTGTCTATTGGCTAAGACAATATAGTTGTTGAAGAGAACATCGGAGCCCCCTCCAACGACTCTGAGAATCGTTGAAGAGGCAAGGGTGAAAGTGTTTAAAAATATTTCCTATAAATACTTAACATTTTAATTTTTCCTATACGTCCTTATCTTCGATTTTCTCATCTTAACCAATCTATATACTCTAGTATGTTCTCTAATCATGGAATCATCTTCAATATTCCTTACCACTATATATTAATGTGTATATTAATCAATCCATGTGTACACATTCCCAAATATCTATTTAATATTGTTCATTATTCATGGAATCATCTTCCACTAATTTGTAATTTTAACCCACTATTCCCTCATTTAGAGCACTTTTTCTATGTAGCTATGTTCATTTTTATTTTTCAAATGTTGCCTTCCACTTTCAAATTCAATAAAAATTTATGCTAGCATTATAGTATTGTACTTGTGTTTTGATATTTGTAATACTTATACCTTGGAAATAAACAATAGCCAGGGAAAAATGATCATACAGGCCCTCGAACTTACATAAAAAGGTCAAATAAACTCTTATATAGGATGGGCTCTATCCGGCCGTCACCATTTGGGGTGGTTCCCGGTGAAATTTTTTTATGAGACTTTTTGAGCATCTTATTCATTAAGTCTAGTTTACTCATACCAAATTTCAGCGAAAACTTCAATCGGAAAAACATTCAAATGAGTTCTTGAAGATAACTGTGCAGTTAAAAGCACAGTTATCTTCAAGAATTCATTTGAATGCCTTCCCGATTGAATTGTTAGTTGAAATTTGGTATGAGTAAACTAGACTTAATGAATAAGATGTTCAAAAAAATTCATCAAAAAATTCTACCGAAAACTGCACCAAATGGTGACGGGCCTGACGGCCGGACAAAGTCTCTTATATAAGGCCTTATTTGACCTTTGTAAGTTCGAGAGCATGTTTGACCATTTTCCCCAATAGCTAAATATATTTACTTCATTGTTGCAATTCTATGTAAATAAATATAATATTAATAAGTACTAAATATTTTAATGAGTAAAATCCATACCTCAAACTAATATGACCGTTAGAACTTTGAGGGAGGACAGTTTTTTTTATCGCAATTCTATTTAAATAAATACAATATCAGCAAGTAAAATAAATCTTAATGAGACTAAAATAAAATGGGAAAGTTCCTGAAATGGGACCAAAAACGTTTGTAAATTCCAAAATAGGACTGTCATGTTTTTATTCCCAAAATAGGAGTAATTACTGTCAAGTTTGGAAAATACTGCCATGTTTAAAGTCTGGTACTGCCAAAACATGACAATAATTAGTCCCATTTTGGATATTAAAAAAATTGCAGTCCCATTTTGGAATTTACAAACGTTTTTAGTCCTATTTAGGGTAAATTCTCTAATAATAAAATCTATCTTTACATTGCTTTATCCATTTATCCTCTTCATCATTACACTCTTATGCAGTTATGCTAT